TTCTTTCCTTTTCCTCTACATGTTTCAAAAGTACAGGGTTCTGTACTTTTAATGAGAGCAGCACTTTGGGATATTTTAAGAGGAAAGTTGGTATATTCATTAATAAACAAATAAATAACTACTGTATTTACCTGAGCATATAGGGAATCAAAGAAACACATCTTCTAAGCCACATCAAGCAATGAAAAAGAGCCCCAGCTCACAATTTTAAATAATCTCTGGCTCTATCTGAAACTCCTGCTTTCTTATATTACTTTATACATCTTCTCCTTCCTCTGGGAGGGTAATAGCTTCCCCAAGCTCTGCTGAGATTCCTATCAAAATAGTAATTACTGAGGAAACAACTGCTGTATGTCATTACATCTTCTGCCTAATACAAAAGCAGCAAAACATACTTTATAATTTAAGGCATGTAGATTGGGATCATCTCCATGCTGCCCAATATCCCATCCTCAACTGGCATTGGTGCCAATCTATTTTCTCAAAGTTTCATCTCCAAAATCATGATGAGAGCATCCCAAATTGACTGTCAACGGTCAAGGTACCACTTCAGGAACTGCAAAGAAGAAACTAACAAATTGGGCACCACTATCCTCTTAGCACCCATTATAGTGTGCAACAATTTTTGTTTTATTGTTTTAGTTTTACTGTTGTTGTGAGCTCCCCAGAGTTGCTTAAGACGGGCAGCCATATAAATCTCTTAAATAACTAAATAAAATAAATTTTATTTATTTCCCCCCCCCCCCCTTCTTCTACTCTTCCCAGCTTACTATCACTTCCATGCAATTGAGTGGACTATCATTTTTAAATCTCCACTGTGGTGTTCTGCACTCACAGATGGGCTGCTCAAACTGCTAAGCCACTGTGGAGCACCACATGATGTCACCTGAACAGGAATTTGGGGCAGAAGTTCAAAGTTCAATTTGGCAAAATGAGCCTGGAAATGGAGGACAAATTCAGCAGGATTGATTACATTTGACAGCCATGAAGCACAATACGCATTACCATCTAAAGAGATGGTCTGAGTAAGACAATTAAAACCAAATGGCTAAATTATCTATCTGCTGTCCCAAAAGTGTCCTGGTGTGCAGCTCTCTACAACCATTTTAGGAGCAAGAGAGTTCATCTCAAAATATCCCCAAATTATGTTGTAGATATATTCCCACTGCACCTTGGAATTACAGAATTCAGACGTTGTTGCTAACTGGGACACTGTAACTGATGGCAAAAAGAAAGCAGGTAGTTTGATGTTCCAGATGCCATCTGTGAGCTAATCTAGTCCAAATAGCTATGATTTGGGTGCTAGCATGCCTATATCTCACTGCCTTTATGAATATCTAGATAAAGAATGCAGATCCAATTCTGCTGGGTTCTGAATGGGTGTAACTTCACCTGCCCTTAATTTGCTCTCGAATTCCAAAGAGTTATTAATGTTGCAATCACAATCCTCTAAGGGCTGAAGCTTAATGTAAGAGAGGATGGCAGATACTAGCAAACTTTTCAGAGTTGCCAGGTGCAGATCACATAAGACAACCCCCACAGCAGGAAGCAAAAACCACTGGAAATGCTTGTAATCTTGGCATAACTGTATGTGGCCAAAGTGGAAGAAGGAGGCTACTTTGCTTCTCAAAAATGCTGCAGAAGATTCTTAGGGACTGAGATGCAGGGATTAGTCGTCTTGGAGGACAACCCATCACATTAGGCTATCAAACAAAATAGTTGCATAAACATAACAAGGTGCTGATCTCTTTAGCCATTTGCTCCAGGTTCAACACGTTGGTTAATAACTTTCAAAGCACTAGAGCATCTGAACAAACACTTTAATGCTATATCAGTATATCCCACGTCTTCACATCGTCTGCAATACTGAAACAGCACTATCAGTTTGGTATGAGGAGCAGCAGTGAACATATTTTTGTTCTTACTTTGCAATATGATGTTTTGTTATTCTCCTACAACAAACCTACGTATGATAATTATTATAACCCACAGCAATAATAAGGCAATTATTGTCCCATAAAGTCAACCAGACCTATAAAGAAACATTATATATTTTACATAAATCTAGCAAGACAGACAATATACATGATTTACATTCCTTAATTTGCATGGGATTTATGCTTCAGATGATTCCCTTAATGTGAATTTGTTGTTGTTGTTTAGTCGTTAAGTCGTGTCCGACTCTTCGTGACCCCATGAACCATATTGTGCCAGGCCTTTAATGTGAATAAGTTACCCCAAACACAATTGGATTATTCCTTAAATTTACATTCTTAAGAAATAACAATCACACATTTGAACAGCCTTCTTAATCTAATGCCTTCAGATGTTTGTCAAGCTATAACTCTCATCACTCCCAACCATGTTGTGAGTTGTAGTCTGATAAACATCTGGAGGCACCTGGTTGAAGAAAAGCACTTTTGCATAAAAAGCTTTAAAAACAGGTACTCTTGTCATCCCGCTATTTCCTTTATAGCAGTTAATGTAAAGAGCCAGTTCTCTACATATGATCCCAAGTGTCATACTGTATGAGAAAAAGAGTTTGAATTACACAGGAAACAGAAAAGCCTTATCCTTTAAGAACTGTAAAAAGCTATAGGGGCATTTATCTGAAACTGGAGGAAATCAGTGGGTGGTGCTGATTTGGGGAAGGGAGATAAATGGGTGAAGCGTATGTGAATAGTTCAGAAGAAACACATTGTTGAGTAAGCCCCCAATCTGATCCTGTGTGGCTTTCTTTTTTGACCTGGAAGGAATGGCAGCATACCTGTTCCTGAATATCTAATAAGTGTTATAAAAGGGAGGTAGATTTCTTTGCGGTGCTTATCTTTTGTTTTTGTTCTCTTGGGATTTCTGAATCATTTTATGATTCAAATCAAAATGGGATTTGAATTATTAGAAGTTCAATACAACACAGTGCCTTAAATATCTCCTTTAGAAAGCTAATATTCAAATAATGTGTATTTGATCCAGTTCTTGTTAATTTTGACTTACTATATTGTGTGAACTCACAATGTGGCTTATTAACTATGATTTAAAAGAAACTTACGTGCAACTCTATAACCCTTTAAAGCAGCTGTGGTAAAATTTTGAGAAGAGATGTAGCTGCTCCAAAGAGATATATTCAAAATATTCATTCCGTATGCTCTGAAGCACTGCATAATTCAAACAATTATTGTGATGTTCCTGGATTATCATTAATGCATGGTGACTTTTATGTTAAAGCTACCAATCAAAGAGTATTGTGCAGCTATTTTTCCTGTTCTTCCATAATTGATTTCTATAGCAACTTTCTTAAAAAGTGGTGGAAATACATGAAAGGGTTACAGAGGTAATATGACATCAGGATACTACGTAGATTTCTGTGAATGAAAGATGTCTGACACTGAAGATGTTACCTAGTGGGGTAACAAAACATTTGCAAGAAAATAGCCAAGCTCAGAGAACCCCAAGGACCCCACAGTTCAACCCTGAGCTACACATATCCTCTTCTATTAGAATGAAGCAAAGTGATTGTTATGATAAAGGCATCCTTTGAAAGCCCCCAAATGTCAGCATATTTTGATTTTCAATATTCATTTCACAGTGATTGCCCAATTCTGGAGAGCAACTCCTGAAAAATCTCCACTGTGAACATGATAATAATTTATTAAAGCATCTTCACACTAATGTAGGACAAGAATATAAACTTTTTGTGCTTGGTGTAATAATACCTCTAATATGGGCCTACTGGATTACCCATTAAATGTGGACATTGTTTGGTTAAGAATTAAAGTCGTTCCATACTAGATTTTCAAAGGAGATTCCTGTAATTCCATCTTCCCTAATCTCAGAACCCCAGAAGCGTGTGAACTGCAAACCCCAGAGGACATCACAGTGGGAGCTGTAACGCTAGCAAACAAAAGGCACTGATCGATTAAAAAGCATTACACACATACTCCATTGCTCCTTCCTTAAGAGCTTCTTTTTTTCTGGTAAGACTGAAGGTCTAACACTTTGTAGGGAGCAAGAGATGGTCCCGTTTTGAAGGTGACATTATCCGAGTAAAAATTAAGGCCTCCTTCCAACTGAGTGACTTGGGCACATTCAAGTGCCCTTCTTGGCTTCAATATGGAAAGGGATTGCCAGCGCGGTCCTATGGGATTTTTCTTCCGCTTCCCAATATAGCCCACGGCTTCTGGTGGCCTTTTATCCAAGGAGAGCCAGCCCCGGACCTGCTTAGCTTTGCCAAGATCAGCCAAGGTCGGCCACGGCCTTGATACAAGAAGTGCAAAGCGAGGACCCGTCAAACGGCTGCTACCTAAAATTCAAAGTCCAGCACGGCAGAACTTGGACTACGGATCCATTTACAAAGCACAGAACAAGTACTAAAGAAATGGCCCCCTTAGGAGCGAAGTCACCTATGAATGGGGACGATTATAAGCCAATTTCAAAATCTGGCCCAAGGGTCTGTTCCTCTTCCTGTGCAAACAATGCCCTTTAATTCTTTTCTTGCTCCACCCTCGAGTACTTAAACTTTTACCCCCGTTCTTCTCTCCAGGGAAGGGCTGAAGAACCTGAGATCTTCATTTACACACCAAAAGCGAAGAAAGGTTCCAAGTGGGCGTTCTCCGTTGTACGGGGGTTTACAAGCGACTCCCCCGCCAGCCGCCTCAATCCAGTAAAAGCCACCCAGAAAAGAAAGCAGCCTCTTCAGCTAAAAGCCCCTCGCCCAACTGCGCATGCTCTCCTCTGAGAAGTGCCGCAGCTGCCGCCGCCGCCGCCGTAGTTACGCCGTTTGCGTAGGGCCACTACTCTCCGCATCGGCCCTGCAGAGGCGGGGGGAGGTGAGGTGGCGTAGTTCAGCCGCGCGCCGAGCGATAGCTCCACTTCAGCAGAGGGTCGGTGTCCGGCGTAAGTGGTTTTGATGAATGGCGTAGCGGAGGCCCTGGGAAAGCAGCAGCAGCAGCAGCTAGCTGTCGTAGTAGCAGCGGCAGCGGCAGCAGCACTGCGGAGTGGGAGGAGGAGGCGGCACCCGCGCGCGGCGGTTTGGTACCGAGCGAAGAGGGAGATGCACACGGCACACTCGAGCTGAGGTAGCTATAAAACCCCGTTTGTTTACATTCCCTCCCCCATACAGGCCGGCCGGCCGGCTCCGCTGCAGTGGCTTCTGGCGGGAGAGGGAGAGAGAGGCGGCGGGAGGGGGCCCCGAGGTGGCAGGGGAGGACGAGGGTCGGTTCGGAGGGAGC